AGAGATGATTAAGTTAAAATGAGGCTTTTAGGGTGGATCCTGATCCAACCGATGGATGTGCTTAAAAGAAGGGAGAATTTGGACACATAAAGAGACACCAGGGATGCATGCATCTAGATCAAGGCGAGACCCTGTGAGGACACAGTGAGAAAATGGTCATCTGTAAGTCAAGGAGAGAGATGTCAGAAAGAACTAAACTTGCTGACACCTTGATCTCAGACCTTTACTTTCCAGAGCCTTCAGCAAACAAATTTCCGTTGTTTAAACCACCCAGTCTATAGCACTTTAGTACTTTAGGCAGCCCTAGCAAACTAATATCAGGAGGAAAGTATGAGTAAGTTCAAGATTAATCTTCAGAGATTTGCCTCCCTCCCTGATCACCCAGAGTTCTAGTAAAGCAAACTTCTTCAGGGCTGATAAATTCATTTACTAAAATGTAAAATGAAATACACTCCTCTTTTAGATTCAAAATCTGAGGCGAAAGGAATCAAGTTCTTACTGTAAAATTTCGTCCCGCAGCCAATATGGGCAAGATTTTTGTGTGTGTGTCTTGTTTTTTGTTCTGATATCTTATCTCTCCTCTCTATGATATAGCTGCCCCTACTCCACACCACCCAGTGATCCACGTTGAAAGTCCTGAATAAATTTACACGAGGATATTATAATCATCCCATGGTGGTCTCTCAAGAACAAATTAATCTCCAGACCCACCACTTGCCAGTGAATTTTAGAGAAGAAAAACAATGCATCTAGAGGAGCCAAAGAAGGAGAAAACAATTTAATTAATTCATCACCAAGGCCAAAGATATATAAATCTTATCATTTGATCTGTCAACCAACACTATGAATTATTCAACTCCCCGAATCTCAAGAAGGAAGGCGTAAAGTGGTTAGAAAGCAGCTGGCTGAGCAGAAGAAGGCACTCAATAGATCAAAGCAAACAAGCCCCCAAGGCTGAAAAAACTTTGGGGGTGGATCCCTGGGATAAGGAATAAGCCCAAGAAAGACTCCAGGATCATGTGTCACAAGTGGGCCCACCACCACCACTTCTGCTAAGATGGTTTGAATAGGACTTTTATACCCCCTCCTTTTCACACACCCTGGTTTCTGAGCAAGAGTTCTTCCTGCAAATATATCATGGTGTGTTTCCTTTTAAAATTGAGCTTTCCAAGAGTTCTATGTCCTCAACTAGTCCCCACAAATGTCTACAGAGGCAGGAAACTCTGCTGTTTTGTAGAGGATAACATTTAAGGTACATACAAAACCTTGAATTCTTAGGGAAATCTGCCTTTAAACTACAAATACTGAAGCATTTTTTAGGCAGACGTACATTGGAGGTTTTGTTTGTTTGTTTTCTGTTTTTTAGTAGAGACAGGGTTTCCCCACCTTGGCCAGGCAGGTCTCGAATTCTTGGCCTCAGATGATGCCCCCACCTCGGCCTCCCAAAGTGCTGGGATTACAGGTGTGAGCCACCGTGCCCAGCCACATTGGATTTCTTAAAGATGAGAGAGAGGGAAAAAAGAAGGAAAAAAATATACAAAAGTTGCTTATGTAATTAAAGTTTGGTAAACAAATATATTTTACTATTTATATATCTGTAATCACTACACTACCTTGCACTTTGTTTCAAAAAAATGATATTTACATATGGAAATAAAGCCAAAGATGAAAAGGAACCTGGAGGGATATTTTAAATAACAGGATAATGTAAACCTTTATTTTATAAAGGATATTTTGATTTTATATTAATTTGGCTTGGTATTTGGATCTCCACCCACTCCTTGCACTTTTTAAAATATGGAAGCATATATATATATATATATATATGCTTTTGCAATTATTCCTAGCTGAACACCACAATGTCTTATTTGGTTCTGTATCTTCAGCAGTAGCACACAGCCTGGCGCAGAGTACGTGCTCAATGAGTATTGACTGAATGGTGAACAGAAGAGAGCATGAACATGGGGTGAGGACTCTAAGAGAATGGGGAAGGGCCTACTAGATTCCCATTAAGAAGAGGGTTAATCCCATCCTGAAACACAATCCTAATGTGAGACACTTTGCAGCACCCCAGATAAGTGTGGCCTTAGTCTCCCTAATTCACAAAGAATCCCAGCATCCTCTAGGCTGTCCCGGGATAAAGGCTTTAAGTAAATCTATAATATAAACAATTTTCTAAAGCTTGGAACCAAGCACAGGCAAAAGCGTAGGTAAAATATCAGCTATTTGGAGGATTTCTGTTTCTTCCATCTGTCTTAGCACGAATCCCTCTATAGGGCTGGATGGTGGGGAAAAGGGGTTGGAGCACCAACTGACGAACAGCAGCTTTGAGGACTTTCGGTTCTCAGGAAATGGGCAAGAGGAGAGCAAGTGTAGTTAAAAAACCAACAATCTCTTAAGTCCAAAGAAGATTCTGGGACTCAAGGCTCTAGCTGTGTTTCATACCAAAATCAAGGGCATTTACTTCTTCACAGACAATAGAGAGTGCTGCCTTTAACTCTGGAATAAGATTGGCAGTAAATCATCAGTAACAACCATCAGTCTCTTGGTGCCATGCCTCCTACCACCTCCACCCAAATTATTTTTTAAAACAATTGCTGTTCGCTAGGTCTTTGTCTTGGACCAGGAAAAAGCAAGTTTACACCAAGTAAGAATGAGAAGTGCATTAGCAAAACTCTGTGGAGTCTTCTGGTCCTTTTAGTTAGAGCTGCAAAGGGTCACAGCTTGGGTGCAGAATGGGAGCCAGAAGTAGGGATATTTTGTTGATTGCTGCTTCTCTTGATTTTATGCTCAAAAACACCAATTTAATATGCAAGGAGTCTACTTAATACAGATGCATTCACTCTCCAAGCTCCAAATCAATGAGTTGGGACTTCAGGATTGAAAGAGGATTCTGAAGAGTTGAATTCATTAGCTTTCTTATCTCAGCCATGCCAGACCCTGGAGTTCACTGTACTCTACAGCTCTGGTGGGTCTGAGGGCCTTTTCTGGGGTCTCTAGCCATTTACTTACTTCCTTCTTATTTTCCATCACACTGAATCTTATCAGATGTAGGTTAATGAGAAACCAGACTGGGGACCAGTCAAAAAGATTTAGAGGAGACTGAGGGACTGAGCAAACGATCCTGACGAAATAAACTAAATAAAGGGTCATGTGTAAGCTGTGCAAGTCTCAACCCTTTGTGTGTGTGTGTGTGTGAGAGAGAGAGAGAGAGAGAGAGAGAGAGAGAGAGAGAGACTGACTCTGACTTAGGGACCCTAGGGAAGTACTGCTCTGCAAATTCCATCACTTACTAGTATCTGCTGTAACTGTTTACATCCCGAACAAAAGACATCAAGACCCTGCCATCCATAACCTCTGATGCATAATCTTCCTCTCCCTGCTGATCATTTACAATAATTAGCAAAATTTAGCTAATTATCTCTGAGCATTTCCGTGTTTAATTATGGTTATTAGTAATAGTCTGTCTGACTTCCCCTATCTCCACTCCCTTTTTTTTTTCTGTCTTACCCACTCCCCCGAGTCCCTCTCCCCCTTAGGAGCAAGTTTCCATGTCAATGAAATTGCTTTTTTGGTGGTTGTGGCTCTTTTCTCTCCTAGGTTTGTTTGCTTCTTTCTTTTTTAAGGGAGCCATCACCAGACCCAGCAGGAGTCACAGAGAAAAGAGCCACCAGACCAAGATCAAGCAATCCCTTATTTTCACCATCCCCCTCCACCAACCTTACAAACTGCGAGCTGCTTGACAACTCCATCAAATAAAATTTGAAGACAGAGTCAAAAGAGCCAGAGTATGTGCTGGCATTTTCTCAATGTGCTTCCACTTACACTACAGACAGCACAGAGCGGAAGCCCAGGGCTAGGAGGCAGCAGGAAGAATCAACTTTCCGAATAGGGTCTGGATGTTATCAGTCTTCAAAATACAAGGGCAGGAGCCCCCTAGGTATGGTTCACGCTCCTGTTCCCTGGAGGGCTGCTCCTGCAGCCAGTCTCCGTTTGTGTGTGTCCTACTCTCCTTACCATCAGAGTGGAGTGCATAGTAAACAAATAAAGAAGCTCCTTTCTTTAGAACGGTTTACTACAGCAAGCTCTTACCTTAGCTGCAGACATCGCCCTTTTAGAGGCAGCCGGCTAAGAGCTGAGTATCATTTTCAGAGCCATAGATCTCTTCCTTCAATAGCTATGTAAGGAGGGTTGTTTGGAGTAAAACACATCATACCTGTATTGTGTGAACATGCCCATCTCTGCTACCTAAAAATGAAATAACATTTGCATACACGGGGAATTGAAGTTACTATCGTTTACACTTGGGTAAGTTATAAATGAACTTAGCCTTATCTTACATATTGTTTCCTCACTGATAGCAATATTAGATGTGTAGTTTTAGAGATAGTTGCTTTTTCCACTAGACATGTGGACAAACATAAAGCTGCCAAAATCAACACAAATGGCCACGGGTTGTTAATTACATTTTCTGCCTTCTTATATTCAGCTACTTTTCCCTGACCATTACCACACAGGCTACTTTATAACAGTTCAATCAACTTCAGGCTGAAAACCTGATTCCTGTTGTCAGCTATTCCCACTCCACCCCCACTAAGTTCCCAAGCAAGCCCACAGCAAAGAAGGGTGAAAGCAAGGTGAACGAACATTTCTCCAAGCACAGCATTGGGACTCACCTGGTAAGTTGCCTGTCTCTGTAGGGGTGGAGAGAGTAGAAGGTTGCAAAGAGAGTGTAGTGTCTGTGCATCTATGAATGAGGGAGCGAAGGAGAAAAGAAGCCTTTAGAGAAAAGTGGAGGTGGGCGTCGCGGGCTAGGGGCAGAAAACACTAACCTTTATGAGAAAGTAGAAATTTGCTTCCCTCATGGACATACCATGCTTTTCATCATTTTAAATTCTTTTTTTTTTTAGTTTTTTTCCCCCTTTGGCCCTTCCTTGCAGGGGGGTTGGTTTAAGGAATTGCTATGCCCCATTAGAAGGATAAAGAGCAGAGAGACCTACCGTGCCCTCCTCGAAGGGAAACAGGGGAGCGATAGATAGAAATAGGCACTGAGTGATGCTTGCTGCCATGGAAATGGTGCTCGTGCTGAGAGTGAGACCCCGGCGAGGATGAGGTGGAGGAGGAGGAAGCTACATTAGAAGAACTCCATACAGAGCTGACGATACATCCCCAGAACAGGGACCAGATCCCAAGCGTCCAGGCCGGCCGGCGAGGAGGGCTCCGTCTCGCGTGGATTCTCAGGTGCATGGTCAACGCACGGGACCACTACAGATGGGCAGTTTGAATTCCAGCCAGTGAAGAGTAATGAAGTTCATGATGCCCAAGGGCCCATCATAGCAGGAGGAAGAGTTGCCAGAATTTGGGGAAGAGGGAAGCAATATGCGCTTTCAAGACAATGATGTTAGAAAAAAAAAAAAAATACTACTTAAAGAAAAAAAAAAAAAAAGATAAAAGGCAAAGCCCCTTCTCTTTCCCGGGGCTGAAATTTAGGATGCCAGAGTCCTCCCAGGTATAGCAAACCTCCTAGGGAGCCCCGGCATGCCACGCATGTCAGGGGAAGACCGGCGCGGCTTCCTCCGGATCTCTAGGCACCGCGAGTCTGATGACTTAACTGCACACTCCTGGGAGCCACACAGAAAAGGTGGTAATGAAGGAAGAGAAGGAGGCAGCCCGAACCCCAAGTGGGTTCAGGTGAGTTTATCCCAACAGCCAAGGAGTTTGAACATTTTTATTTTCCTGTTTCCACTTCCATGAGATGCAATGCAGAACTGCCAGGCAAAAGGGGGCTGCAGGTGGAAGAGTTCCTCGGGTGTTCCTGGGAGTCTCTGGGGAAGGGCGCGAGGCTTTTAACCCTGCACGTGCTGAACTAGCGCCACGGAGCAGCCGCCGGCTTCCTGGGTTTCCCAACTGGATGAAAGGCAGCAGCAGCAGCAGCCACCGCAGCCAGAGGAAGAGAACAAGCAGGACTGGAGGGAAAGAGGAGAGGAGGAGGAACCCGGTGCGGAGCAGCCACCCAAACCAACGTGGCACGGGGTGGAGGGAGGTGGGTGGGCGAAATCAGCGAGAGCGCAAGAGGAGGTCCCCGGTAGGCGGCAGAGGCGGCAGAGAGGCTGGCGGGCGCCTGCGAAGTGCGCGGACCAGGGAGGCACAGGTGAAGTGAAGCGAGGAGTTGGGGAGCCAAATTCACAAATGGGCAAGTCATATGCAAATAGCACACTCCCGAGAGCAAATCAGTGCAGCCCCAGCGCTCTGCCGAGGGACTGGCTGGCTCCGGAGGAAGGAGGGGCCAGAGCGACCCGGAATCCCGGCCCTCCCCATTCAAGCACAGGCTCGTATACACCCGCGCGAGCCTCCAGCACACGCCGTCCGCACTCCTCTCGCTCCCTCGGCTCCCGCCCCGCCGTATGTGCGCGCGTGTGTAACACCGACAGACCGACACTGCACCTTCTTTATCACCCTGCCCTTGCTCCTCTCCCAGGCGCGTGTAACCAAACTCGGGCCATGAAGGCACCTTTTCGCAATTTGGGAGGAAAACTAAGGGCGGCGGCTAAGGCCGAAGTAGCTCCAAATAGAAATAAAAATAAACCCCTTGAGTCAGCGCGAGCGCTGGAGCTGCTTGCAGCACGCGCGCTCCTCCCCGCCTGGCGGTGGCTTGGGCGGCCACTCTCCAGGCGCGTGTGTCTCCCGGGGTTAAGATGCCCAGGGCCCTACCCGCAGGGCGAATGATGGGAATCTGAGCCCGGACTCCCAAAAGTGAAGGTGGAGTGGTGGCCCGGGTACTCCAAAGGGTGAAGGGCTCCGTGGTTGGCAGCCCTTCCGGAAGGTGGCTGCCACCCCCGGTGATGGAGAGGACACTATTGGGATTCAAAATCCAGAGGTTATCGTCCGCGCCTGTAGTCCTGATCAAAAAACTTGAGAACGGGAGAGGGCCTCGTCGGCTGGCTCAAAGAGAAGTGACTGGCCTGTCCGGAACCGGCTGCAGAAGGGCTGCCCTAGGTGGATGAAGTCCCCTGGGCGCTGGGCATCAAAGACAGCACCGTGTTTACCTCAAAACTGAACACGCAGGGGAAAGCCAGAGTGGTAGCACCTGTCCTCTGTCGTGGCCATCTGTGATTCCAGGAGGGGACTGACCCAAGGCTCTGCCAGGACACGGTAACACTGTGGACCAGGTGGCATCCACCCCTCCACTATGTCTGATGCGCAGGAAGGACAAACCCAACAAGGCTGCCCTCTCAGTCCAGATCGTTGTCCACACAGGTCTTGCTAGCCTTGACTCCCTCCTACCATTCACCTTGGGTAAAAAGCCCATTACATTTGCAGGGAGGAAAGGGAGGTGAGTGAACAATACTTACTGCTTAAAATATATATATGTTGTATTTAGGAGGCTTTTTAAAAAGGAGCTTGTAGCACCTATTATATACTCCACTCTCATTTCAAACCCCCTGAGGATAAAGAACAAGGATTAAGACAGCCCTGTTCATCCTTGAGACACCCCAAGGAGATGTTGAGGAAATAGCATTATGTCTCTCTAACAGACAAAGATACCAAACCTACAGATAATTTGCCTTCAAGGTCATACATCAAGTCCATTTCAGAATTTATGGTAGTGAATTGGTATTCTGGTTCTGAAATTGGTATCCTCCAAAAGCTCCAAGCTGCTCATAGTAAATGATGCACAGTCACCCTAACTGCCCTGGCTCTCCGTTGTAAGAGTGATCCAGGATCCACAGCCTCCCAGGAAATGGCCCTCTGACAAGGTCTTCCATACCTTTGGGTGTGCCCCCACCCACAGTGTCTTAAACCAGGAGCATGTGCTCAGTGACACCACAGCAAGGGGAAGGGGTGGTTTATGGACATTCCACTGAAACCTCAGTTTCCTCCTCTGTAAAATGAGGGAAATGCCTCCCTCTCGAGCTTGTTGGGGTTTAAAATTAGAAAATACACAGTATGTGGCACAGCACCTGACAAACAGTGGCAATATTCTTTGTCAACTAGAAAAATAAGCTGAAGCTCTAAAATGGTGAAGTACAGGTTAAGTACATGGTTAGGATCTTATGCTATTAATGCTAGAAAAGCCAGAAAAAAAAAATCTTAATATCCTAAATATCCATGATAATTTCCCCTCAAGTCAACCACTCCTTCATTTAGTCCCCAGATGGATTTCCACTGCACTTTTGGCCTTAAGCGGCCTAGATGACTCTGCTTACCCCTAATGCTTCAGCTCCATCTCCTGCCACATGTCCCATTCCTTGCTACTCTTTAGTTCCCCAGGTCTTTCTGCTTTGATCATGGGAAGTTCTTTCTCATCCCAAGGCCTTTATAGCATTGTTGGCCCCTTCTGTCTGGAAGGCTTTTCCCCAAGATTTTCATGTGATGGGTGCATTTCAAATGTCACCTCCTCAGAGACCCTCTCTGGTCCTCATCTAAAGTTGACCACCACCCCTGAAAGGCATCCCCTCCCATTACCTTTTTTTATTTCCTTGACAGCACTCTCCATGTCTGAAATTATTTTATCTGTATATTTGTTCATAGTTATCTCCTTAAAATGGTCATAAACTCTCTGAGGGCTGAGTCTTTTTCATTTTCTCCCCTGTATTCTGTGTGTGTGGAACAATAGGTAGCACATAATAGGAGCTCAGTAAATACTTGCTGAATGAATGAACTCAGTGAATCAATTACCAATCTCATACTCACGTTTTCCTTAGGCCATTAATTTTGCTGATGCATTTGTCCCTCTTTAGCAATGTAAATCCCCAGAGACAAGCTTTTCCGGGGTTGATAAACCGACCACCTACCCACTTACTGTTTTCCTTTTTTTTTAAATTGGCACTGAGCATTGGAGACTGCTTTGACTTCATTCTGAGGATGTGTGGGAAGCTTAGATGGACTTTCCAATTAATTCTCTGCTGGGCAATAAAGGGAAAATAAATCCCTAATGCGGTACAAAATCTGGAAATGCTGCTGGTGCATCACAGCTGGAACTATTCATTTCACTTGTCATACTTATAATTTATTTATTTAGTTTTTGCAAAATGTCAAAAGAAGTCACCATGAATTTCGGTAAGGGTGATTCCATCTGGGGACACAGTTAAAAACTGAGAAGAGTCTTCAGAGGACAAATGTAAGACAGGTCTATTTTACTTCTTCCACTACAAAGAGACAACCCCCAGTTATCCTAATAAACTGAATGTCCTTCTCCAATTTACCCCACTGTTAATTTTTTCATGTATTTCTTATCCCTCCTGCCCCTCCCTCTAGTTAACACGTTCCTATTTGGACTTCTTTTCTGAATCCCATTCTTTTTAGGTCTTTTAGAGCTTACATTAGTCAAACACATTAAATACATTTTTAAAGATGTTTAGTTGCAGTGATACTTTCTAAATACTGCCTGTAGCTAGAGTTCCAGCTGAAGGATTTGTCATCCCTTGTTCTACCATCAAAAGCTCTCCTCTTCCTCTTGAGTTGTCTTTTCTAGTGAGTCCCTTGAGTGACAACACTTGGGAATCAAGTGTACAGCTATAGGATGAAAACGAGAGTCCACTTTTAAGATAGAAAAGAAGAGAAATAGATTTAGAAACACTATGCTCACCCAGATTTCAAGTTGAAAAATATAAATAATTTCACAGGAACAACCACGCTTAGCTCCACTTGAATAACCCCCTCCATGGAATCCTAACCATACTCTTTGGATCCTGAAATTTCTAAATGGAATACAATTTTTAAAAACCTCTTGATTACTTCAGGCTTTAGAATTGGTATTATGAACCTTCTCCTCTTGCTGTTTAAATGTCCCTCACCCCGTCGTCACCCTGCTAGAGAAAGTCCCAGGGTAAGGTATGAGCATCTTTACCCATCAGACCCTTTGTCTTGTGTTGGTCTGTGCCTCGGCTATGCGACAGTCTGGAGATTCTTTGGCTTCTAAAATAAGCCTTGTGATTGTATTTAAATGTGTCAGGCATCAGGAATCTAATGCAAAGTTGCTCTGTCCATCTGCTTGTTTTCTACAGTACTGTACATTTTATCTCTGCACAGGCCTCTCCTCACTTGTATAGACTCTGACTTGCCATTTTGCTGCCAGCAGGAGCTACCTGTCAAGTTGTTCTTCGCAAGCACATCTCATATGAACTGCACAGGAACAGGCACACCAGAAAGCATCAGAGCTGCCTGTTTCTGTGTGAGCCCTAGGTTTTTAGGCGAACACCCTTTTATTCCAAATATGAAGAGCAGAGATGCTTACTTTCTATCTCTACAAAGGGCTCCAGAAGGCAATTTAGGAAAAGAAAAACAAACAACTAAACTCTCATAATGTGAAATGAAATAAAAGTCCTGAAAAAATACTGGGGACTGTTAACATGGCTATAAATACATCTAAGGGTTTCAGTGACACCATAAAACAGTTCAACTTTACTTTATTACATGTCAGTAGATTTATTTATAGCCACATAATTCATCCTTCTGCTTATTTATTTAAAAAAGCCATCCTACATAAAAGCAGATTTTGATTATATTTTCTATTTGGAGGTATAAAAGAGAAGCTTTATTTTTTTAGACATCACTTCTACAAGTATTTGATTAAAAAAAGACAATGGCATCCTTGTATAAATTTATAGTTTAGAGAATGTATATACTGCTTCTGCCTCTTTAACTTATCCTTCTAATAAACACCCATAGTTATCCCCTTGTCCTCCTTGTGGCTGAAATAGGGATATCAGGAGTTTGGATGTTGGAAAAAAAATTTTTTTAATCTCTTGAGTTTGAATAGTGTAGCTGAGACATTTCTTTAAGGATTAGAAAATATGAAATCTTCCTGTGAAAACCTTATTCAGCTTCCTTTGAACTCCAAATGAAGTTATTTTAATATAGCAACATTTTTTTTTCTCTTTTATTCAAAGGCAGGGCTTAATGAGTTTCTCATAGACAGATTTGGGCATTTACAACCTGTTTGTCTTCACTAAGCTTACATTGGATATCAGATCTCCAGTAAGCTTAGATCAGCTATCAAAGGTCTAAACTTTGTATCCTCAGCACCATGGAAATCTCTATCCGGTTTTAGGAAATCAAATAAAATGAGTTATCATAATATGTTATCACAATAAAAGAAGGAATAATCTCATTTGTTTGTTTATAGGATAAAATATTAAAGATTTAGAGAATACTTTTTTTTTTTTTTTTTTTTTTTTTTTTGGTACAGGAGACTTTATTCAGAATCACTGCAATACGTATAGGGACCATGGCAAAGGGTCTTGAAGTCTGGGAGAGACAGACTGGGCTCACCTGCCTGGAGGACACTTTGAGAGTGCATACAGATTTAGATCAGGCTCTGGTACTCCACAGCCTAGGTTCAAATCCTGATTCTGCTTGTTAGCTGCTGTGAAAACGTGGCCAAGATCTTAGCCACTTTTTGTTTGTTTGTTTTTGTTTTGTTTTGTTTTGAGATGGAATCTCACTCTGTCTCCAAGGCTGGAGTGCAGTGCGTGATCCCAGCTCACTGCAACCTCAGCCTCCCGGGTCCCAGTTCAAGCAATTCTCCTGCTTCTGCCTCCCAAGCAGCTGGGATTACAGGACTGCACCACCAT